CTGAGGAACTGAATGGCACAATGAACAATAAGGGGATAAAAGTATTTCCCTTCTGTATCACTAGTTAAGTCCCTTAAAGCTCTACATAACTTTAGTAGCAACAGATTCAGGCCAAATCATCTACTCTTTCTATTTCATCAATAGTGAAAAGCACAGGAAATATGTTACAATTCCTTATTTTGGGGGTTTAGGGTGGTTGTTTTTTTTTTTGTTGTGACAGACCAAACCAACAAGATGCCAGCTAGGAATTAAGCTAGAATGTAATTTTCCATATTCTACTTTCCAGCAGGGAACATCCAGCAGGCATGTGAAGCTATTTTTGGAATTGCTGACATTGATAGAGAATCTACCTGTAATCATTGTCATGTTAGACTTCCTTCTCTAAAAGTTCCTTTAGAGTTATGTCATACATTATTACAACTGCTTAAAAAGCTTTGAGGTCTGGTAAATACTGGTTGTTTATTAATGTTAAATATTGACTTTTCAGGTAGTTGTTGAATTACAAAAAGTGGATTTAGCTGGTTCACAAACTGATTTAGGTGAGTACTGTACATTAGAGGTAGAATAAAATGCTCCAGTTTTGAGACTCTGAAGTTAGAAGAGAGAGGAGTTAGTGATGCCAAACCATAGTTTAGATGAAGGCAAAATGACTGAGGAAAAGATTAATTTTGAATAGTATAGAGCTGATTGTTGGAGTTATTGGTTAGGTATAGTGACAATTATTTTCTCCTCTGCTAATTCTGTATTGGTAATTGCCACTCGACAGCCACATTTATTATAATGTCAAAGGAGTTTTCTGTGTCCTCAACATCATTTCTTTTCAAAGAATATGAGATTTCATTCTTTGGTCCTCCTGTGCATTCTTTGGTTTTAACCAAACCTGTTATAATGCTTTTGTTGTTGCCTGTATCTCCATTTTGATTATTGTCCTGAAGGTTCTCTTTTGGGTAAGGTACTTAATTTAGTGTGAAAAAGAGTTTCCAGGAAAAAAGTAAAGAACCAAGTCCATTCAGCCCTTTTTGAGTTATGTGAATGAAGAAAATTACATTATTTGTTCTTTAAAGAAATTTAGACTTACATACTTACCTAACTGGAAAGGGCTGTGATTAAAATTATGATACATTTGAAAACAGATAAAAAACCAATGATGTAATGCTAACAAACTAGAATTTTTGATCAGTTTTTTTATAAGCTTGTGTGCAATGTCAGGCTATATTAAGCTGCTAAAGCTGGGTATTATGTCTGTGGGAGAGGTACATTTTCAAGCTGTGGTCATGTGTTGACACAGTTTTACTGCAACCAGCATTCATTTTTTTCCTCTTCAAAGAATTCTTGTCTTTGAAGGATTTGAATTACTTACGTTATTCTCTACTAACAAGTAATATAGACCAACTGTCTGGAAGCATTATTACTGTATCTCATTACTGTAATTCATTGTCAAAGATCTGAGTGACATAAATGTGCATTTTAACCATTGCTAGAATTGGGGTTTGTAGAGTGATATTACAGGGTGTTATACACATGCTGTCAAACTAAAACAAGCATGTAATCATGTTTCCATTTCTGTCAGATACTATAACTCTTCAGATTTGACTCCTGAAGCAAATAGATCCTTATATATCAAAGGCTATAGCTACAGTAAACTATTTAATTATGAAACATCCTTTTACTTACTAGCTCAGGATTTAATTTCATGATTACACTTTCTTATTGCAAAGTGCATCAGTTTTAATTATTATTTTATATCACTTTAGGTTTAGTTCCTGGAGGGAAAGTGAAGTTAGTACATAGTTCTACTATGGAATTGAATAACAGGTAAGAAAATGGGGGTGTTTTGATTTCACATGTGTATCTCACAAAGCTAATTTTTCCTATACTTTATTAATTTGCTGTTATGTAAGATACATTTAACATTATTTTCATTAGTTTGTGGGTTTAATATGCATTTCTTCCTAGAGCTAGTCAAAGACATTTTAGGTCAAGAGCTTCTGTGTATACTTGCATAGCTTTCAGAGACAAATTTCTGTATATAATCTTTTGCCTTTACATTTTTCCTAGCCTTTTCCCAAAGGATATTCACCAGAGAATGCCACAGACATTGACTATTAAATTTCTGTCTTCTAATCCTAATCACTTCATTGTTGGAACAAACATTGTGAGTAACGTGCTGAAATTCATCTCATTGTTATTTTTTGTTTTGGAAGATGCCCCATTTAGTTGGAATTTTACCAGTAACCTGTACATAAAGTTTATAATTTGAGACTATTATTAAAATCTGTTAGCTGTTAAAATTTGTTAGCTCTTAAGGATGTTTTAAAGTAGCAGCTCTGTAAATTATTTAATTTTTTTCTTGCAATACCAATAATGCAAATTTTGTTTTCTTTTGTTTAATTAATTTTTCTTTATATTGTTCATAGGGTCTGGTAGGCCACGGTACAAGACATGATTTAAAAGTTGTTCCAAAGCTATTCAGGCCCCGGGAGAGCAGACTGAGATCAATAAGCATCACAGCAATTGATTTCTTCCCTTTTGGAAAGCCACTATTTTTGGTATGAAAACATTTTAATAGAAGTTTCATTTTTACTTCCTTGGTGAGGGAGTATTTCTGATTTGACATTTGTAAGTAGATGTGATAGTTGATTTACCTCACTAATTCCAATCTGCCATGAAGGCCGACAAAAATAATCATAGAATTGTAGAATCATTTAGGGTGGGAAAGACCCCTGAGATCGAGTCCAACCCTTCACCCAGCACTGCCAAGTCCACCACTAAGCCATGTACCTACACACCACATCTGTGTGTCTTTCAAACACCTCCGTGGCTGGTGACTCCAAACTTGTGTCCTGGTGTTTGAACTTGGCTGATGTAAAAGGAGAACCATCTGGCTCACAGGAGAAAATGACACTCCAGCATTGTAACTTGTTTGGTGTTACTGAAATTCAGCATTGTAAGCAGGTCTTCTGCTGTTAACGAAGCCTCAGCTGTTTCTCACACTTGGCATCCATCTCTTAGTGACATAATTACTTTGGAGATGAAATATCTGTATTGCTCTGAAATAAGGCAGCTCTGGGCTGCAGCTGATGTCTTTGGGATGGCCTAAAGTATAGAAGTATAAAATAAATGTGCTAGGCTACGATGTAGGCATTTTGCGTCACCTTTGTGCAGTCAGAACATTCTTTGACCGATTGGGATGTTCCTACTTTTTTCCCCCAATGCCTTTATTTAGAGTGATACTGACTTTTACAAGTTTGTATCTGCAAAGTCCTTTTAAATGTAAGCAGTATTTGCAAAGTCACTGTAAAAATTTATTCTAATTTGAAAATTCTAGGAAGTCTTCCTGATGTAGAGGTGACCCAAGGTTGTAAGAATAACTTATTTTCTGTTTTCACAGAACAGTGTCGTTTTTAGCCAGATTAGAGCAGACTTGTAAAAAAAGTTGTAAGAATATACCTGGAAGCAGTGGTAGCTGCCTGTCTTTGGATCTAGTTGTTCATTATGAATGAGTTTAATGTCATTAAACTATTCAACAACAGACTGGCCTACTGAAAGCTATTCTTGGTTTTCCAGATTACATGTGGCACTAAGTAGGTGCCTGAACTGGTCTCCAGGCTCTGCCCTCACCCTATTACAGACTGCTGTCACATTCTGCTGAATCACAGTATTAGTGAGGTTGATAGTTTGAGAACTTTTCTTAAAATAGAAAATTAGGACTTTAACCCAGGATTAGTGAATACTCGAGTATGCTCAGTACTGAGGGGCTGCTTTTGAGCTCAGAATTGCACAAAGGTAAATAAATACAAAAGTTAAAATCCAGATAGACCATAGATTGAGATGTGAGAGACATGTCCCACTTGAGTCAGATAACTCATTTTGGTTTTATGCTTGATATTCTCAAGTACTGAATAGCAGTTTTTATCTGGCTTGGTTTGTTTTGTTCCAGAAGGTATTTTCTTTCTGTCTATGATACAGGTTGGCTGCTCGGATGGGAGTATTAGGTTGCACCAGATGACATCAGAGCATCCCCTTATGCAGTGGAATGACAGCACAAATGGACAGCCAGTTATTGCCCTGCAGTGGGCTTTAACAAGACCTGCTGTGTTTTTTGCCCTGGATGCATCATCTAATATTTATATTTGGGATCTTTTGGAAAATGATTTGTTGCCTGTGGCAAAGCAGACTATGCCATCAGAGAAGTAAGTGCATTGCCCTCTTTTTAACAAAATATTGATATTAGTGCAGAGAGTTTTTTGCTTGATATTAAGTGTACATTAGTTTGCTTTTCTAACTGTATTTTGTAAACTGTTGAAGGTGTGGAAACACACTAGAGCAAGCTAAATTTTAGTTTAGCCTTATTTACTCATTATTTTATACAGTCTGGTAAAGGAAAAAAGTATTAGTATCAATCAAAATCAGGTATAGTGTTACCAGTTGGGCCAGATGTCTGTACAAGGAGCAGCTGGTGCTTATATGAAGAGAAAAATTTTGCTCCCACTAAAATCACTGGACCATTTAAGTTCAAAGATAACTTGCTGGATCAGGATCAACCCCTAAAACAGGCAAGATGTTGGACAACATTTTAAAATGCCTATATATAGTATGGTTACCAATCTAAAGCAATGTATTGTGGTCATTGTCACAAAGTAAACTAGAATACTTTTGGCTACAAGATATTCACCATGACTAACATCAGTGGAGTCTCACAATACTGTTCCAGTAGTCAGGGGAGAGACCTGGTGTCCTATAGATTGATGCACAACAGCAGTTTCATTTAGTCTTTCTGAATTATTGTATTGAAGATTCTCTTTCCTCCCTGATGGGTGTCCTACTGGTAAACTCTCTTCCCAAGGCTTAAGTTAGTCTTGGTGAATATCCCTCTGAAGTTTTCCTTGTATCCTTGTAAACTATAGCAAAATGTTGCTAGTTTTTGGGAGAAAATATTACCATTTTAAAAATTTGTTATGCTGTGCTGGAAAATGCCGTAAAACACTGTTCATTGTTACAAGCTTTAAAATTTGTTACACTGTGCTGGAAAATGCTGTAAAACACTGTTCATTGTTACAAGCTTGAAATAATTTTCAAGTCATGATTAGAAATGGGTGATTGAGTGCATGGGGGAGGAATTGCATGTTTACATTAAATGATTGCAACTGATGAAATCTAAAGAACATGATGGGACTTGAGCAGAAAAAAGGAATCATTTAGTTGATTGTAACCTGATATAAACATGTTTGAAAGTGCCAATGGCTATTCATTTTGCCTCAATTAATTGTTCTTCTGATTTCAGGGTTGTAACTATGGCTCTAGTGGGTGAACCAGAAAAAGCCAATGGATTGTTGGGCATTGTGCTGGCCAAAGAGTCTGGCCAGATGGACATTCAGTACGTCAAGAAGAAGTGGGCATTACCTCAGCCTGATGAGTCTGACAAACTGCACTCGGTTTTATTGCAGTCTTTTTAGAAACAGGTTGTAGAATTTATTGAAAAATATTTAGAGTGTTTTTTATTTCAATTAAAAGATTTGTAATGTGATTTTGTATTTGTATATAACTTGTATGTATGTTAAAGAACATCATTATATTTCAACGGAAACAATATATTTTATCATAAAAATGGCAGAATTAAATTTACCATTATTGTGCTCAGAAACATGAACTGTATTTCATTATTGAAAGCACTCTAGAGGTATATATATTTTTTAAAAACAGTAGAAATGTATTCCTATAAATTGCACTACTGTTTCTCGTTATTTTGCTCTGAAATAGACCACAACAGTTGTTTGGCAAGCTCAAATTTGTGCCTCTCTACAACCCACATGGAAGGAGATCACCTCTGGGCCTTTTAAACACTAATGCTTGGTAAAACTTTCTTATATTTACCCGAAGACATTATGCAAACATAACACAAAATCCAAATCTACATCACAGATCTCTTACTTCTGATTTCGAAACTGAAACTTTGCAAAGGGAATACCTGACTCAGGTTCTGAGATGTACACCACCTGCTTGGCTCAAACCGTGTGAGATTTACAGCAGCTCTGAGGCCTTTGGAATTTCTGCTGGAAAGCAGAAAACACTGGCTTGTTTAATCCTGCAAATCATTTCCAAAGCTCATGTAGTGAGGAAGAGGAATAGTTGTCTATAATATGACACTAATTCTTGTACACTATGGGTAAAGTTTGGACCACGACCAAGCACTGAAAATGTCTTTTGTAACCTAACAACTTCTGACTTAAGGATCACAAAGAAAACCTTGATTAAACAATTCAATGAAAAAAAGAGAGACAATTGGAAGACAATATATTCAGTATTTTGTGAACATATATATATTTAAGATACGTACCCTCTCTTTCTTGAAATATTTGTAAATTAGAATTAATTAATTGCAAACGTTTTTCTATGTACATTGCTGCCTAAACTGAACAAACTCAAAGTGGCCACATGATGGTGCCAAGTCACAGCAGTAAAAACATGAGTGCCTTAAAAAAGCGACATCCACCACCTCGGGAGTAAGTTTGTTGTTGTCCATAGCACAGATCCTGATGAACTACTGGAGAAAAGCATATTTCAGAGACCATTTTTGCAATGCTAATTCCCTGGTCAGCCGTGGAATTTTTTTAAAATGTGCATAAACACAAGTGACTCTTCTCATCTTCCTTGTTGGGTTTATATGGCAATAACATCCACGACAAGTTAAATTAGAGCAGCTTTAGTAGTGCAGATAGAGAAGAAAGAGCAAGTAATTTTTCCAGTAAGGCAGCAAAGCATCACTGCTGACACTCATAGTAAGAAGCCAAACCCAAATCTCTCACTCTTTGCATCACAAAGTGAGAGACACATACTCCACCACTCCTTCCCCCCAATTTACCATGAACATTAAGTTTTGAAATTATAGGAGTCTTCTGAAAGAAATCTATTATCATTTATCACTTTCAGAATTTCCCATCCTGAATTTCCTTCACTGCACCCAGTTCTGTACACAGAAACTGTAAGAAAACAGTTGGGTTTTTTTCTGCCTTGTGCCTGTGTGCAGTGGTGGTGTTTTTTTTCCATATGCAGAAAGGAAGAAATAATGTCAACCTTCACACAGAAGTAGCTGTCGCTGCTTTTGAGCTGCTCTTTATAGTTCTTCTTGTACTGCCTGGAGAGCTGAGTATGAGTTCCTGCACTGGGCTTATGCTTCTTGCCTTAAGGATGAGTTTTCTCTCTTGAACTGCAAACTAATGTAATAATATGTGTGCCCTGCACTGACAGTTGCTGTTATGAGAATGTGAGGAAAGAATGTGCTCCATGTAATCTTAGCAGCTGGAGATATCCATGTACCAGTTTTGTATCAGAAAAGTGGGAAGTGTTGGTAGGCTGCACTACAAAGAGAGCACTCCATGTATAAGGATTTACAAAACTGTTTCAAACAAAACATTTCATTTTCCTTCAGCTGCTTCTAATGGTTGTCAAGTTTATGTTGTTAACATAAGATATTGTATTTTATGCATAAGAAAGCAGCATGATTAGTTAGAAATGAGACTCTTTGGGAAAGAAAAAGAGTTCACTGTATTTTCAGATCCATATAGTTCTTGCCAGTACCTCTGATGTGTGCATCACACATTCTGTTGAATGATCTTTATATAGGACATAAACACTGTCATCATGAAACATTTCAACCAGACCAAATGAACCTATTTTTTCCCACCTGTGGGCAATAATAGAGACTTAACATTCAATTGATATAAAAGTTAAATCATTATCCATCCACATTAATAACTTGCATGGAATATAACCCCTTGCTCTTAAGTCAGTAAATCCAGGTAGAAAGGGTGAAAAATTTTAAATATGCAAAATGCCAGAAAGTTTTGGATAAACTTCTGTTTTTATTTTCCCCTTTATGCATGTGCTTTGAAAGCCTTTTCTATTTAGAACATAAATATTAATATTGTTTCCCTTCCATTTTGTCATCTCACAGATGGGAAAATGAAGTTTTCAGCAGCTGAATAATAAGTTAACTGAGGAACAGCATTCTTGAATCAGATGGCTGATTTCTTACAACTGTTTAGAAATGCTTTTATTAACCTGTCAGCCCATATTTGCAGCAGAGCTTGGGAGAACAGGAGTAACATGACTCTGCTTTTGTATCAGAACACTTCTTTGTAGTTGTTCTGAAGGTGACCATCCTACCCAGTGCAATTTTGTCTTAATTAATCATAGCTGTCATTTAGTTAAGACCTGTTGAAGGATACAGGAGCCTTGTAACCTCCATAGCACTGAAGGAATATGCTAGCTGGAATATTTTTACCAGAACACATTTAAATCATAAAACTGAAGGTGCTTTTCCATGAGGAGTTGGAAAGTCCATCTAGGTCTGTTCTAGGTGTAGAAATTGGCTGGACTAGAGTGAATACTCAATTGTCATTGAATTATACAAACTCTTGGAACAGGCCTATGTAAAATTCACTGAGCATGTAACCAGAGTGTGGCCCTCAGCTGTGAAATGCAAACCAAGAGAAGTTGTGAAGATCCTGGGACTAGAAAATGGCTAATGAGCCATATCTTCTTTGCTAGCTTCTATTATATTCTATTTATAAACAATTGCTTGTTCATCTGTGTATTTCTGCTCTGAGGAGGAAGGCAGGTAAGAGTCCCATTTCTTGGGAGCATCGATGGGCTTGATTTTGAGCACAAGGAAATCTGTGCTTTATTCCTCACATTGATTACAGTCATAGTGTCAAATACAGACTCGAATAAAAGCACCAACATTTGTACATAGTTAGAAAGATCTGTATTTTTCATGTGTGTAGCTTAAACTTTTGACACTGCCATTAAACTGATGGAATTTCAGCTCCAAATAATTTATATCCCATTATAAATTAAAGCAGCCTAAGGCCTTCATTTCCTGGTTTTATACTGGTGCAACCCAATTGAAAATAGCAATGATACCTTATTAAAAGCAGAAGTAAAGTAATACTGTAATAGCCTATACTACCCATTGACATTTAAAACATGATTATTTTTCACCTTTAGTTGAACCCTTTCTTCTATTGGATTCATTAAATTCTGTAATATATTTGTTGCCCTTTTTGCCCAGATGTCAAGTGGGTTTTGCTTTTAGAGCTCTGAAATATAACAGCTCCATTGGAAACTAATCCCATGCACAGGTCAGACAAACTGTTGTTGCTGAGTGGGTTTAATACAATAAATAAAAAGCAGGTACATTATATTAGTAGTCTATTTAGTCAAGCCTTGAGGTTCTACATAGTTCTTTAAGAGGACTTTCCTCTTAGCTGAAAGCTCTGATTCATCAGCTGATAATTTTACTGCTGTTCCTCTATTCTGTCCAGGCAAAACCATTCAGCCTGTCTAGACCACAGTTGTTGCACATCAAGGATTTCATAACTTGCCTCTAACTAAAACTGACTGTTTCTTCTCTGTGTTACAGAAAAAAGAGACATAACACAGCAATTTGTTAGGCACATATTTTAAAAGCTACATTTTAATCCACTTGGTTCTTCTTGGAGACAGAAGATGAGAGAGCTGGGTAAAAAAGTATTGTTTAGAGACATAAACTTTTCCAGAGGCTTAGAAAACAATCCATGAGTCCATAATCAGACATTTGCTATCATTTTTAAATAGCAGAGTCAGATACTAAACCCTTACGATGAGTTACATAAAGATGTGAATTATCACAACTGCCCTCAGTACTGCAGATTTCCAATGCTGTGTCTTAAGGACAAAGAACTGAGAGAAAAATTGAATAAACTTTCTCCATCTAGAATAATTTTTGTCAAGCATCTGGGAGTCAAGTTCTATTGTGCTGTTGAAATAAGTGACCAAGAAAAGAGTCTTTGTCTCACAGAGCTTATATGAAGAAGGTGGAAAAGATTTTTTTTTTGATTGCTCCATTTATTTGCAATGGTAATAGGATATACTCTTAATGCCCATGCAGTTGAGCCAAAGGACAGGCTGATTAATACCAGAAAAGTTGCATAAAGAAAAAAATGGATCTGAAACTGCTCTTCTAACCTTCATTTAGAAAATTAATGATTACTTAGGTTACTTTAGATATTCAACTATTTTTCACATTATAAGACAGTGTCAAAGGGCTTCATTTAAAGATTAATTCAACCAAAATGATGAAATTCACATTGAGTGGAATGAAATTCCTTCACTGGGTTTATTGGGGTTGGGAAGCAGGACATAGGTTACAGAAAGACTCTACATTACTGTGGATTCCCTAAATTCCCTTGGGCTTTTAGTTTACTTGCTCAATAGTTAGCATTTTGGCAGTCCAGCAAGGTCAATTCATCGAGCAAATACAAAACTCTGCTGCTCTGAAAAGAATTATCAGCTGCTGAAATCACTTCAAAGTAATTTTCTGTTCCAAATCAGAGTGCATCTTTGCAGCCTAATCAAGTCATTTAATTTACAGCCACAGTTATTATTTATGGCTTATCATTCATATATTATAAGT